ACTAACAATTTTGAGCTACCTACCGTAGTCCGTCGTCCAAGCTCGAGCAAATGGGGGGTGTAAACAGGTTGTGAAACGTAGTCATTTCCGTGCAGGAGGAATCTCGCCGAATCGGAGGGATGATTTAACGAGCTCGAAAAATACGGGGTATATCGTGTAGCTCCAAAAATCTAAATCTATCCTAGCTACCGTAAACCATTTTCAGAAAATCGTGGTGTAAACAAGTTGCCAAACGTAGTAAGAGCCTGGCAAAGTATGCTCGCGGAAGGGGTGGATTTGCGTAATTTGGCCAATATTGGGGCTTTTAAGCGCTAGGGGGGTGGATCCCAGAAACCGCTAGACGGGGGAGGAGAAGCCGACTGGGACATTGCCCCAGGACTGCGGGGAGAACCCGACTAATTCAATCCATCCACCGGATGGATCCAATTCGGGGGATATACACACGACAGAAGGAGGAGGAGCAGCAGCAACAAGTAGTGTCTGTTTGTCGAGGAAGTTAGCAAAAATTTTAAAGGGATGGTGACACCTCAAAAATCGAGAAATTTGACGTTTCGGTGGCATAGGGGGATACAGTCAACTGGAGTTTGAACCTTTGAAGCAGGGTTCGATTTGATGGGAAAAAAACCCAAGACCACCTCCAGAAGGACCTACCACCTCCAGAGGGCCGCGAAGCGGCCGAAAATTTTTTTGACATTTTGTAACTCATATTTGGTATTTAAAGGAACCACCGGTATTTTTGAAATTTTGAATAAATGTTGTTTATTTGTTAATATACCACGCGGCAGTCAAAGCAACTCCGGAAAAATGAAATGGCGACAGGAGGCAGAAGAAGAAATTCCCTAAAAATTCACTCTTGCTATATTCACAACGAATTCTTTGAGAACGGATTGACTTTTCCGGTCAGAGCTTTCCGGAAGCTGCACAGACGAATTTCTTACCTACATTAATCAATGCGTCATCCTCTTCCGCATCTGTTGATACCACTCACTAAATCCATAAGGTTCGTTTGACAACCTCCTCTCCACGATTTATGCAAATTGCAGGCAAAAACGCACATTTCCGGCCATAGTTTTCCGGAACCGGCACGGATCCTCTTCTAGCCTACACCAATCGACGCGTCTCATCTTTGCGCATCCGGTGATACCCATGAAAAGCCATGAAAACTTTGTTAGACAACCTCCAGCCCCTGATTTATGCAAATTTCAGCCAAAAAACACACCTTTCCGGCCACAGTTTTCCGGAACCAGTACCGATCCACTTCTAACCTACACCAATCGACGCGTCTCATCTTTGCGCATCCGGTGATACCCATGAAAAGCCATGAAAACTTTGTTAGACAACCTCCAGCCCCTGATTTATGCAAATTTCAGCCAAAAAACACACCTTTCCGGCCACAGTTTTCCGGAACCAGTACCGATCCACTTCTAACCTACACCAATCGACGCGTCTCATCCTTGCGCATCTGGTGGTATGACTCACTAAGCATAGGAAGGTGTTTAGACAACCTCCAGACCGTATGTTTTGTTTTGACCCAGTCGGAAACTCCCCGGTTTTGGGGAAAAATTTTCCACCCTCAATCATGTTTTTCACTTCCCCCTGAGGAGCTATGGCGGGGCTGACCACCTCCCTTGGTAGAGGAGCCTAAGAGGTTTCTACCCTGAAAGTTTGGTCCGATTCGCTCCGGTAGGAAAAAAATGAAAATAGAAACAATTTTTTCCTAACTGGGAAAAAATTGGGTTTTGCTGTTTTTTCCGCGCCACAAAAACCGAGGTTTCTCCCGATTCCGGGATTTTCATGTTTCGTGTAGGACCTCATTCGATAGCTTAAAGAATTCTCTATCTAACTATGCGGGTTTGCTCGCCGAAAAAGCACGATAAACCACCGAATTAATTGAAAAACCGACTGGGAATTAATTGGGAAAAAAATTTCTTTCGACAAATAGGGTGTATACCCCTTTAAGTATCGATCTGAATGGCTTTTTATGGGTATCACCAGATGCGCAAGGATTAGACGCGTCGATTGGTGTAGGTTAGAAGTGGATCGGTACTGGTTCCGGAAAACTGTGGCCGGAAAGGTGTGTTTTTTGGCTGAAATTTGCATAAATCAGGGGGCTGGAGGTTGTCTAACAAAGTTTTCATGGCTTTTCATGGGTATTACCGGATGCGGAAGAGCAAGACGCGTCGATTGGTGTCGGTTAGAAATTGATCCGTGCCGGTTCCGGAAAACCGTGACCGGAAAAGTTGTGTTTGGCTCAAATTTGCATACATCGTGGAGAGGAGGTTGTCAAACGAACCTTATGGATTTAGTGAGTGGTATCAACAGATGCGGAAGAGGATGATGCATTGATTAATGTAGGTAAGAAATTCGTCCGTGCAGCTTCCGGAAAGCTTTGACCGGAAAAGTCAATCCGTCCTCAAAGAATTCGTTGTGAATATAGCAAGAGTAAATTTTTAGGGAATTTCTTCTTCTCCCTCCTGTCGCCATTTTATTTTTCCGGAGTTGCTTTGACTGCCGCGTGGTATATTAACAAATAAACAACATTTATTCAAAATTTTTATTTCAAGGCAAAAAAATCAACGCACAATAATGTATCCGGAAAACCTCAAAGATGCAGGTGGTTCCGCTAAATATTAGATTTCTTATTTTAGAAAACAGGTGCTAGTTACAAGAAATAATTTCCCCTTCATCGTTTCCTGCGTTCCCTCTGCCATATATATGTCATAGGGAACCGGCCGCGAAGCGGCCGCCAAAAATTTTACACCTTTTTTTGACCACCTCCGGACTAAATGACCACCTCCAGGCCCCCACCCCCAAATTTACCCAATCAAATCGAACCCTGCTTTGAAGGCCTCGTCCAGAGGGTGTAAATAGGTGTCCTACGTAACATTGGGCTCTGCTACACAGTACTGCTATCGACATCTGTACCCTGTCGTTCCCAGCTGATTTAACCAACCAAAATGCCTGTCGCGATCCCTTTAAAATTTCCACTAACGCCAGAAACCCGTCGTAATTGGGTGCGAAACGGTGATGGGTGATGGGAGGTTAGGGCGGGGGCTTAAAATGAAGCCGTTTGGGGGACATGCGCGTCGTTTCGACTAGATTGGGTGGTGGTGGTGGTGGTTGAGGAGGAGGACGAAGAGGACGAAGAGGAGGAGGGCCCTAAATTGCGATTTGGCGCCCATTTCATCGGGTAGAAGAAACGAAGGACGGGGGGGGCGGATGTGGATGGGATGGGCTCGGAATGGATGGGCGGTTTGGAAGGGGAGGAGGAGGGAGGTCCTCAAAGGAATGGACCGGCCATCCACCCGAAACCCTCATTCGACCAAGGCAATGGACCTATTTTACTAGATTTCGGATGGGTGGGGTGGGTAGGCCTAAATTTAGCTACGAGGGAATACGTCAAAAGTACGGTACACTTGCGTACAGATTGGGCGTCTCCCCTCACCTAGCTCATTTTTACCTCCCTTTCCGCTTTTTTTATGCGAGAGAGCAATGAGAGCAAAGGTGGAGAGAGAGAGAGCGAGGGAGAGAGTGAGAGAGAAAGAGAATGAGAGAGCGCGAGAGAGTGAGAGAGATAGAGACAGAGGGCGCGCGAGATAGAGAGAGAGTGAGAGAGAGGTACAGAAACAGAGAGATGGAAAAGGTATATTTCGGAGATAAGGAAAAGTTACAGCACCACCCGACAATTCTGTTTTAAAGGGACCAAAAAGGCATCGAGCCAACTGAATTCATACGTCTCAACTTGTCGGACTCTTTAAAGTAGAATCTACAGGGTAAATAACGTGATTAATCAGTGGTATCAGTTATTTAATTTAGTGCTAAACTCAAGCGACACCAAAATGATCCACTTGGGGTCCATCTCGCACCTCCTTAGGGCCCACTCACTCGACCATCATCACCCTCCATCCATGATTGGGTGCGGAGAAATGGCCCAAGGGCCCCAAGGCCAGTGACTACCCTGATTGTCTCCGCGAAACGGCGAGAGAGAGAGAGAGAGAGAGAGAGAGATAGCGCGAGAGAGAGGCCGGGATGCTTAAAAGAGTGCCTCGAAAGGGGTCATTGATGAAGTCTTCCCATTCGATTCTCACTATACTTCCGTCGTGGTCAGTCCGGGGGGGGGGTGGGCCTTTACGGAATCTAGTATCATTCCGGAATAAGGGGGAAGGGGGTTGGCCCGGATGCGCCTGATCAAATAGTACGCGGAAAAGCGCGTCAAAAAAGGAGCAGGAAGGAAATTGGAATGTAACGGAATACTTATAAATAAATGGAACGGAATAAGATCTCTATCTCTCTCGGTCGTTCAGTCTCTCTCTCCCTCTCGCTCTCTCCACCTATCTCGCTCTCGCTCTCTCTCTCTCTCTCCCTCTCTCGCTCTCTCTTTCTCTCTATCTTAAGAAAATGATCAGAAATAGATCCAAAGAATTCGAGTAACACAAACCCGGTTCTCCCAGCAGCGCGCCGTGATTCTATTAAAAACGTACTGGGGACGGGAAGGCCAGTAATAGACAGAATACGCCGAGTCAAGCAGACAGAGAGACACACAAACACAGGGCCCTAAAACGGCAGGTGAAGCCCACGCGCAATAAATTGCCCCAGAAGCGTTGATGGGCGGTAAAATGGGGTGGAGGGGCGCAAAATTAGTGAAGGTTCGAGAGAGAGAGAGAGAGAGAGAGAGAGAGAGAGAGAAAAAGAGAGACTCAGATGGAGAGACCCACGGCAAAAATACACAAAATTCGAGGGTGAATACAAAACCAATTCGTGCAAGTGCAGGTGCAAAAATAATCTTCATTTTTCAGAGTGACTACGCATAGCTGCTACTTACATCTTGAAAATTGTACAACTTCAACCCGGATTTTGCCATAAACTTGATTCTCCCAGCTCTGTTTGTCTGTGTTCAACCATTTAGTCCATCTAGTATTTCCGCCTTAGAAATATCCGGAATCCTGGTCGAAGCAAAGCTCTCCAAGCCAAGTAAAACGCTCGGCCCCAAGTCAACTTACTAGGTTGATGCGCCGGGGCCATACATTCCAGCCTCGCCCCACCGTCGGCCAGGGGGAACACGTCGAAGCGCCGTTGGGCAAATGCCTCCACAAAAGCCGCACGCACAAGAACGGAGGGGCTACGCACAGAGCCTATGCACGGTTGGGTACGGTGCGGATTAATGGCCTTACCCAGCTTGTTGGTGGCCGTGCAGTGGAACTTGGTGTAGGCGAGGGAAGTGGTGGCTGGGACGAGGAGGGTACCCCCAGATAGGAGGAACGAGGAATTGTTGTCGGTGGCAGAGAGCTGGAATTGAGGGTCAGTGAGAGTGAGAGAGTGAGAGAGGGTGAGAGGGAGAGAGAGCTAAATACAAAAAACCCTACCAATTCAACGTCATTTTTGTACCACGTGATTCGAGGCGTCGGAATACCGTCCGCCTGGCAAGGTAGGGCCACAAAATCGGTGGGTTGCCTCGGAAAAAAGAAGACGGAGGATGGGGTGCTGCTGGACAGTCGGCTGGCTCCTAGAAGTTTGAATTTCGTAGAATTCGTATTCTTTTTTTTTTTTTTCCCTCTCGCTCGTCTCTCTCTCTCTCTCTCATCTCTCTCTCTCTCTCTCTCTCTCTCTCTCTCTCTCTCTCTCTCTCTCTCTTTCTAACCTCTGGGTATTAACTGCTGTTGAAAGAGTAGCCGTCGTCGCGCGATATGGGACAAGCTGCAAACGAATGGATACACCGCAGAGGCCGGAACAGCAGTACTGAAAAGTAGTAATTTAGTACGAGAAGCACCTTAATTACGATGCTAATATTCAGAATTTTGGGTATAAAACAGCACTCACATCCTATACTCCTGATTCGTGTCCCTCCGCAACGCCGCGGTACGCCACGCATCGGAGTCGCGCTCCCCGCGCTCGTCGCTAGGGCCGCCAAGCAGCCAGGTGGTCTCCGCTAGTCCCGCATCGTACAGACCCTGGAGTACTGTAATTGGAGCGCAAAATAGCCCACCTGGAGTAGATCAACAAGATCGGATATTAGAGCAGCATCCGTGGGGGAGACGAGCCGACCCCCGGCCATCGCACATTCTCTAGCAGCTCCCTCTTTGTCCTGAAATTTTCAGAATAGCGTTTTTCTCTCACTTTTGCTCTCTTTTGCTCTCTCTCCGTCTCTCTCTGTCTCTCTCTCTCTCTCTCTCTCTCTCTCTTTCTGGCTGATTACTTACCTTGGCTATCAAAAATGGCCGAACGCATGCGCTACCCGACGACTGCCATCCATGCGGGCAAGCCGTTTCATCTGAAATTGTGGTAATTAAAGTGAGCAAGAGTTTGAAATATTCGATTCGAAAGCCAGCTCATTTCTACCTAGAAAGCGCATATTTTTCTGAGCGCGATCTGGGTCTTGCAGCGCATTTATGAGCATTCAAAAGCACGAGTTGGCTCATTCAGAAACGCAAATTTTTCGGAGCACGAGCTAGCTACGTCGAAAGCGCATATTTTGTGAGCACGATGGGCTGACTAATTTTGCTTGAATTTTGTTCCGAAATTTGTTAGAGGCTACCGTTTTCTTTGATGTTTTCGAGCAAAAACTTTTCGGGTCACCTTAAAACATTTCAAATTCCCTCAATTCAACCCCCTTGCGCTCCCCCGATTGACACGCGTAACTTGGGGCATTATGTACAATGACTCGGGCCCGACCTTGTGGTGTGAATTTGCGCCTTCTGGCGTTCCATGGCCGGTCCCGAGGGGAAATAGACCGAGTAGCCCCCCGAAGACGATGTAATGGGCACCCTGCTACGGTAACCGTATTACGGGAGGGCACATCCCTATTTCGAGAAGAGAGAGAGAGAGAGAGAGAGAGAGAGAGAGAGGAAGGGACATCGTCAATTACATCCCCGCACCCTCGATCAAGTGGCGCCATTAGCAAGTCATCCAAATAGGGGAGCGGAGTTGGGTACGGTAGCTCTCTCGCTCTCTCTCACGCTCTATCTCTCTCTCTCACTGTTCCAGCCCCTTTAAAAATCCTGACTTACCAATAAATTCCAGTGCTCGCCGAAACGGCACCAGCAAAATGAGAAGCAGATAAAATGAGGTCATCTCAGCATCGCTACTAGGTGGCTGGGGCTCCTGAAACCCGATGGTTTGTGACAAACGAGAGAGAGAGAGAGAGAGAGAGAGAGAGAGAGAGAGAGAGAAAGAGAGATGCCGACGAGATCCCGGAGCTTGAATAAATATGTCAAAACGTTGGCAGCAAGGGAAAGAAAGAGAAAAAATAATCGATCTTGAAAAGTAGTGTGGAAGAGAAAAGAGAGACGGAGATAGAGAGAGGGCAAGAGAGACAGGGAGAGTGGGAGAGTGGGAGAGTGAGAGAGTGCGAGAGAGCGAGAGATGGAGAAAGAGATGCCTAGAGACGGAGCAAGAGAGAACGAGAGCAATAGCAAAACAGAGAGAGGTATATGGAGAAAGACTGGTCATAAACCTGAAGAATTTCGGAAATTTAAGCTATATTTTTAGCTAATATTTTCGATTTGTCTGTGGGTGCAATATGGTGTGCATAGTATTGGTGCGTAGGGGTAAGGGGGGTAGTGGGGCTAAAGGGAATGGTCGTGTCGGGATTAGAGATGCGATCGAGGGTTGGTTGTGGTGGTGGTAGGAAAGGGTATTGGGGGACAAATGGCCCTCCTGGATTAGTTCCTACATAAATCAACGAGACCGCCCATCCCCCCATAAGCTTTTCCCTACCCCTAAAAGGACAACATTCGCGAAGTTTTTGGCAGCACCCTGCGAACTAGGGGTTACGAAAACGGATGGGCATCTGGGAATGAGTCAGAAGAGTGGAGGGAACGCTGGTTGGGTTTGATGGTTCTTAGTTATCGGGATTTTCAGAGTCGGGATTTGGATTGTCGGCATTTTGGTTGTCGGGATTTTGGCCCTTCGAGATTTTGAATGTCGGTATTATGGGTATGGGAATTTTGGGCTGTCTGGCTGTCGGTATTTTGGCTGATATTTTGGCTGTCGGTATTTTGTATTTCGGGATTTAGGTTGTCGGTATTTTTAATGTAGCTATTTGAATGTATCGGGATTTCGATTGTCGGCATTTTGACCGCCGGCATTTTGGCTGTCGGGATTTGGATTCCGTTAACACTGAATTTTGTCGTTTCCGGATTTCCAGGCGACATTCCGAAGTCAGCATTTTTGCGTGTCGAGATTGGGCCAAGCGCCTATTTTGACATGTCAGGGAGCAGGAAAGACGTTTTAAAGAAAAGTGCAACCGCGGCTATGGATTTTAGTGAGTACAAAATCAGAAATTTACAGTGTGCATCCGATTACGGTAAACACAGGCCTACTGTAAGTTGCAAATTAGGATGGTCAATGGACGATAGTAGTCACTTAGGCAAAAATTCAAAGTTTCTCGCCAATCCCCCTCCTGTCCTAATCCCTTTAAACCCTGAAAGCCAGGAGCAGGCGATCCGGGGTCATTCTATAGACTGCCATTGAGGGGTAAGTGGATAATTCTGGTGAGACGATGAACAGAAGTGGATCATCTGGGGGGAGGGGGCGAGCAGAAAACATTGAAAAGCCTGGAGGAGGTTAGTTGGGGGGACAAGTGCCTGGATTAAGGCAAATGGTCAATGGCGAGAGAGAGAGAGAGAGGGAGCAAGCTCTCGGAAGCGCCAGATGACCCCTGGCGATTCCACTCCTTACCAGCCGATCTTTCGAGGCCCAAAAAAGTTGAAAAAAGTTTTGTAAACGCGTAGTGTTCCGGAATTCCAATTCGGCAGCTCGAAAATTAGCTTAGAGGTGTTGCATTACGGGTATTGAGTAGTTATATCCTACCTTATATAATTTTGGGGTGTATCTCTGTGTGTGTGTGTGTGGATGTCACTTTCGAGGCCCGATTTAAGGGCCTTCCTCTGCATAAAATGCGCTGATTTTTTGTCACTTGGGGGAATCTACCCTCCTCTTTCCGATGGCGTTTTCAGAATTTCGATAAAATACAAGCTTACAAAGTTAAAGCCGGTTTTATTCATTTTTGAGGGTAATTTGCATAATATGAAAAAAATACAAATTTCCTCATTCTTGCAATTTGCCCGCGCGTGTGTGGTCGGTGGGGGAAAGGGGTTTGAAGGACCCGAGCTATCGGAAAGTCAAATTTTTCATGCAAAGGCACAATTCCAGCGTCCAAGGCCCGCGAAGCGGATTTTGGGCGCTGGTTTACCGCATAAATCAAATTCTCTAATTTTTGAGCCTTAATAGACAAAATTTCGAACGAATCCAACTTCCGCGCACAATTCGCTGACTAGCCGGAAGTATTGAGGCTTGATTATGCTATGAGACTCGGCAATGTGACCCCCCCCCCTCGGGTATGTGGAATTACATGGCTCCAATCTATTGTGGCCCACCTGGGTGCTCCGAATTGCCTTATGGGGGTCGAAGTACCACATTGGGGCACCACACCACCTGCAAATCCATAAAGTTTGGCGGAATAGTGGATAATTAATAGGTGGATGATATTGTCGAGAGTGAGGAGAGAGAGAGAGAGAGAGAGAGAGAGAGAGAGAGAGAGAGAGAGGGAGCGAGAGAAGTAAAATATATAGACCGAGAAAAAGAGTGTGGAATCAACAAGTGAGTGGGAATGCAAAAGAGCGTGAGAGACAGAGAGAAGGAAAGACAGAGAGAGCCAGAGAGAGACAGACAGAGAAAGAGAGAGACCGAGAGCGAGAGCCAGAGAGAGAGAGAGAAGAGAGAGAGAGAGAGAGAGAGAGAGAGCGACAGGGACAGGGAGTGAAGGGTGGCGAGCGAGAGACGGCGAGAGAACGAGACAGTGTGTCCAAGCCATAACTCCGCATTAATAGATCACCATTAATCTAATGACGTACTGAAACGCATTTCTAACTCTCTCAATCTCGTTCTCTCTCTCTCTCCCTCTCTCTCGCCAAAAATTTTTGGTCCTCTCCTTCCGGCCCAAGGATCCAAAAAAACTGAATGAAAGATTTTGGAATTAAATTTCCAGAAAAATCGCCACTCGCCCTGATTAATAACACGAATCGTTGAAAAGCCAGAATCGAGAAGCGGATATACGGCCGTCCAGGGGGGTAGTAGTGCCCTTTGGCCCTCAAGTGGGGGTCACTACCCCTTTCGGGTTGGCCACTCCTCCTCCTCCCCCTCCCTCCCTCGGCAGGACAGATCAACAGCACAAATAACCAGTGCAAATAAGGGCATAAAGCAAAAATATGTTAAATGGGATGTGCCAGAAATCCGGAAAAATCCGCAAAGAATCTTTGATAGGTTGCCCCATTTTTGAAAGTGCAAGAAAACAGTGATTCCGCAAATGATCTCGGCTAGCCTGCCCTGGTTGGATAGCTTAAGGGGGCCGGAGGAGGCAAAAACAACGTGAAAATCCCGACAGCCAAACGTCGACAACCGGAAATCCCGAAAACAGAAAATCCCGACACCGACAATCCCTACAGGCCAAAAGCTCGACTGCCAAAACGCCGACAGCCAAAATACTGACAAACCAAAATGTCGACAACGAGAATTTATAAGAGAGTCAATCCCGACAGGCAAGCAAAATAGCTGTTTCAAAGGAAAAACAGTGCAAAATAGCGTCAAAATGTCGTTTGGTTGTCGATATTTTTTGTTGTCGGCATATTAGCTGTCGGTATTTTAGTTGTGAGAATTTTTGATGCTTATGCCAAATCCGCAAATGGATTCCGCTAGCGTGCCCTGATTTTTCGGCCCAACCCCCCCCCCCGCCACCCATCCGAAATGAATATGCAATTTTCACGATTCGACACGATGGGCTGGATTTTGGAAAAGCGGAAAGGAGATGGAGGGGAGGATGAGTAGGAGAAGCAGCGGGAAAAGCCGGGCGGCCAGGTTTCGTTTGCGGGAATCCATTAACCGTCTCCGCATCTCATCGTCGCCCCCAACAGCTTCTGTTGATTTTTCGGACTACACATCGAGACGACGGGTTGCAATTTTGACTCGGGTCGAATCGTCTATCTAGCAGCTGGAAATGAAACTACGAAAAAAAAACGGGATGATACTCTAAACACGAGCAGCAGCATGAAGGGAAATATTGAGTGGCTGCGGTGCAAATTTTATTGGGGAAATAACATGGCTTTCGCTTGTGGAACGATGCTTAGCAATTCCAAATGAAATCTAGCTGGCAGAATTTTTTTAAAAACGCACATTTTATCCTGAAAAATTACTAAAGAGCTAATATAGGCTTTAAATACAATCTTTAATTTTTTCCATTATTTTTACTTTACTATCTCTTTTTATCTCGATCAT